GATTAATTTTTTTTTTCAATTCTAAAAAGTCTTGTGCTATGATGTACCGAACAAATGTGGAAAAAAAAAGAAAAGAAAAATGGTACCAGCATCATGAGTGTATAAATAAAGTGAAAATTAAAAGGAAGAGTCCCTGGGTACGAAATTCACAGTCAAACAACTCTGAAAGTGCGAAGCGTCAAAGGGATAATCAGTAAACCTTCAGTTGCGCCTCGATTTACGATTAAAATGTAAAGAAAAAAAAAAGAAAAAAACTTACGCATTTCTGTCCGATTACCCCGTAAAAGATATGTACCTACCTACACACGTTATGTACTGTACAATGTACGATAAAACATAACGAAATAAAATTAATTCAAAAAAGCTCTTTGATATGCTATAGTATGTTCAGACAAGGTGTATTATACGTATTATGTTGTACAACGAAGTATAAGGGAGCTCTAGATTTATTCCCTGAATTCATAAGCCTATAGATAATTTGATAACGATTTGATGATTCGCTTTAATAGTAAAAGAAAAAAATACGCACTATGTACATACCGTTACTTTCATATTTGTCCTTTCGTCTTTACAAGTGAGAAGCAGGAGGTGGTGGCGTTTTAGGCGACAAGCGGTAATTATACAGACAGCCGTGTGTACGTATACGAGTGTTTGCCGTAATTAGTGCGGGATTTCTGCTCCTCGTTTCTTGGATGTATGTGTGTTTGTGTGTGTATTTCACTACGTGTATATGTATATACATACATGGAACCAGACAGACAGACGGACAGGATGTGGAGAGGAGATTGAAGTGCAAAGAGGCTTCAATTCCATGTATGCGCACACCCTTCTTTTACCTGCATGGAGGGGGGGGGGTAGCCTTTATCTATACAGTGCGTATACGGTCGTTTCAAACGAGCGTAATTAGTTTTGTTTTCGTTGCTGTTTCTGTTCGTTCGCTTGGTTGGTTGGTCATACATAGTATTGTTATACAGAGGGAAGTGTGTACAGGGTGCGATTATTTAACGCTTCGTGCGTGCTTTTTCGGGTACACTCCACCTATACAACCACACGCGCGTGCGTTAATTGAAGCGTCGAACGGGAATTTTGCGAATTGCGGTTTTGTTCGAACTTCAGATCCTGGAAATAATTACTATTATTATTATTATTAATATTCTACTGGGAATATAACTCTTATTTTTATTTAGTTGAATTTAGCGTTATTTATAGCCTTTATATTTTTCGCGTTTTGTAACGGTTGGCGCGTTTTTTGGTAGAAAAGAAAATGCATGTAATAGACAAAATGGCTATACGATTGTTCGACGATATAGCACCCGAGTGTCGTCAACATCACTCGTTAAGCCCCAGTCAAAAAAGATTTGCCCGTGTGAAAATTCGTAGTCTCGAATTAAAAAAAAAAAAAAAAAAAAAAAAAAAAAAAAAAAGGGGCGAGCCTGAAAAAGCCATTCACTTCCGTTTTTTTTTGCAAAAAAAAAAAAAAAAAAAAAAAAAAAAAAAGGGGCGAGCCTGAAAAAGCCATTCACTTCCGTTCATTTATCGCAAAACGTAAAAAGAAAACAACTTCCGAGATAAAAGTTACACCACCCACGACCCACGCGTATATAGGTATAATAGTTAAATATAGATACACAGAGACCCTTAGCTCACACTGCCGTGTCTCTCGCGAGCATATGGCTATTTATAGCATCTTGGGGCACGTTTGCACACACACATGGATCCTTTCACGTAATATACGTATACATGTATGAATAACGTAGGTATATATATATATATATGTCAATCTTGGCTATATATATATTGGTATAAGCTACACAGCAGGCAGTTAGCTACCTGCTCGCTCTCTTCAAGTCTCTCTTTTTGTCGCTCGTTTGCGCCTCCTATACGTGTCCAACTTATATTTTTTATACCTTGGCTCCCTGCTCACACACACATACGCGCGCGCGAGCGTCTGTTCTTTCTCCTTTAAGATGCACACGAGGCGGTATACGTAGTAGTGGTAGTACAGTTGTAGTACTGGTGGTAGTAATCGAGGTGAAGGTGCCTCTTGACACGAGTGACGGCGACTAGCAGCAGCACACCTCGATTCACGTACATGTGCTGAATAGACGAAAATTATCATCATTCTACCGCTGCCGGCAACTTTGCACTATATAAGAAGAACACCATCTCAGCGTATAGCACATGACAGTCTTTATGACAAATTTTTTTGTTTTTTTTTTTTTGTTTTTTTTACGCTTAGTATATAATTCAACGTTCATCAGCTCCACGTGCCCCGAGTAGAGGGTAAAAAGAGCTTGCACTTTTTCGCACACGAATATTTTTGCACGTGGGTGCAAAAAATCACTCAAGTATAGGAAATCTTCGCATAAATTAATTGATAATAAAAAGTCTATTCATGTGTCTTAAAAACACAATAAATTTGAGAAAAGTATAAGTATCATCTCGAGTACGCATAAAGGATTCTTCGCATTGTTTTGATGGAATGTCGGTCGGATCACCTAATAGTTCCTGCCCTTTGTAATTGTTGGGTCTGTTCTGTCGTACGATTATACATATTCTAGTCTAACATGTTGTATTGTCAGCTCGTCCAACTCTATTTCCGTAAGCCAACCCTTGCAGTTCGCCATTATTGACGATTCACTCGTGCCTAAGTATTAACAAAACAAAAAAATTTTCTTCCGCGATATTCATACGCGCAAGTTACAGGCGTGAAACGATTCCTCATTAAAAAGCCGCAACAGCGCTCGGGACATGGTGCACCTAGATAAATATGGACCAAGTGAGAGAGAGGGAGAGATTCGCCGAATTCTCGTCGTAGGCCAAAGTACACGAATAACCCAAGACCCGAAGATAATCCCCCCCCCCTCCTCGGCTGGTGCAAATCATACATATATAATATACCGCCACTCGGAGTAGGGGAGTAACACTAGAAAGACGCGACTCCCGGTCGATATAGGGACGGAGACCGTAATAATGATAAACTCTGCGCGCCATGCCCGCCCGATACATTAGACGGGCAACAACTACATACTGTATAATATGTATATGTACCTTCGTACCACGAGCTCGGGAGGCTTACAATCTCGGCCGAACTTTCGCCCGCGGAAGTATAATTAATCGCGTCGCGAGTGCTAACATTTATGTATATAGATGTATAAAACTTGCGACATATAATACCCTCCACCCTCCTTCCGAGCCGCCGTGGTATCCGATAAACTGTTGCTTCTGCTCGCGGCTGTTCGCTTTGCGCCGATAATTGGCCCTCTCTGTATGATGTAGCTATTATTGTAGCTCCGTTTTATTGGTGCGCATGTACTCTTGTTGCAAAAAAGAGATTTTTCAACAAGTGTTTTCTTACTAGTTTACCACTGCTCCTGTCAACATTCAAATCTAATCTAGTGGTAGTGCTTTTCACGCAAAATCATCGTATTTTTGCATGTAAATCGATTAACTATAAATTTGTATACGTCAAACTCAGGTGTCGCGTGATTAATTTGGTTCGCAATGAAAAATCTTAATAACAAAGAGTGTAGGTTCTTCAATTTTTTTTGCAGATATTTGCAGGTATTTACCTATCCACGAGTTAATTTGCCATCTACTTTTGTGAACTATGGCACAACACGATGACATTGTTTTTATCGCCCAACGTATTGTCTCATCATAACGATTAAAAATTATCAACACGATGCAGCAACGAAAAATTATATCTGTACATACAGCAACTAATGCACCTTCCATCCAAGGAAGCGAATAGGCCGCAATAGAATTCACCAATCGATTTCTAGCGATCCATACTTTAGTGGACCCGATCTAGAACACCGAATTGTGCGATATTCTTTCAAAAACAAGCACACCGGTGCATCCTGTATCTGATGAAAATTTTTTATTTTTTGTGATAAAAAAAACCTTATCCCTTTCCCGATTCGTTAGATGAAAGAGGCTGCGAGGGAGAAACAAGCGAAGGCACCTCCCCCCACGTGTTCCATTTTCGCAATAAAGACCCGTCGAGCGCGCTCAATTAGGATCATCTCAGGATTGCTCTCGATCATCTCGATAAGGAATCGATCTTTGTTTAGTTAATTAATTTTTTTTTTTTTTTTTACCTTTCAACAAGGAATGTTTAATTGCCTCTTTTTTCCTCTGGTACTTTGTATTTTTTTTTAAATTATGGAGCAAGCTGGAAATAATATGCTATAAGTTGGGTGAGACAAACGATCGGCCAACGACCCCAAGGGCGACAAATCAAATGATACGAGAGCTAACAAGGGTTCGATAACAGGAATTAGCATCGCCACTTTCGTGCGCCGTTACCCCTCCATAAATTCAATCGGAAAAACGAACAAAAGCCCTTCCTCGTCCCTTGCACTCCATAAAAAGGAATTCGCACGCAAAGTTTGCGTTTGGCTGTGTCGTAAATCACCACGCCACTTTGTGACTATGCTTTACAAGCTTGTGCTACAGCGATAGTCACTAAAGTATGTCCAAAAAAAAAAAAAGAAAAAAAAAATTGTAACGGGTGTGTACATCGGTACGTGTACACCGAGTACAGCATTTACAAAGAAAAAGTCGTATACATGGAATTTTCGTCACATTAGAATTTTGAAATTAATCTTGCCTCCGTTTCCCAAGACAATTATTTTAAAACTGTTTACAAAAACTTGATGCCTCCAATTTGTATTTAGCAGAAAGTACCTACTTAAATTACCACTTGTGAAGATTCGTATGAAAACTTTATTTACGAGCGAAATGAAAAAAAGTATAGGTATACACCAAAGTTACCGGGCAAACTCAATTTCGTTGCCGTAATGAAAAGCCCACTGTATATATGTATAAACAAAAAAAGTTAAAAACTATCCGCGACAAGGAGCCAAAAAGCCGGTGACACGCTGGAAATCTTTTTTTTTTTTCAGCAAAAAAATGATTGTTCTTCAATTTTCTTTAAAACTGCTCGAGACTAAAGGGACGCGAGAAAAAAAAATCGGCAAATCCGTGAACTTTCAGTTGCAGGAAAAAAGAAAAGCGAGCAGGAGTAGGGCGCCCCGGCGGGTGCCTGGAAAATGGGTGCTCACGTCGAAAGAAGAAGAAGCATCAGCGGCGCAAAGACGCCCAAGACGACAAAAACAACAGCAGCAACAAACCACAGCGGCAGCTTGAAAGGAGCGTGGGTCCAGCGGCCGATGCTGCAGGAGCGCCGCGCCGCGAGTTGATACAGGGGCCCGCCCTCTCGGCCCCATTCGGGCCGACATGAGCGATCTACAGGCCACCCTCGAGTTCTCCCTCGAGCTCTGCAAATTTTACAATGTCGATCTCTTTCAGCGTGGGTGAGTATACACACAATGTGATCCTCTTTTTTCTTTTTTCTTTTTTTTTTTCCTCCCCCACAAAACCAACAACCCACACGGCCCCTCGAGCGTATGACGTGGGGGACAAGAGAGTGATGTCGCACATGAATGGGGCTGTGTATTTTGAGTTCAAGGTGCACGGTGTGTGGAGTCTACGACGTCAATGGGACGTGCAGTGGAAGAGGGGAGGGTTTTGAGGGCACGGCTCATTTTTCGCTAACGCGCGCTTATTTCGCTCCGCGTCGATGCTCAACTCGATAAAACATGATGAAACGAGCGATTTTAGTTAACAAGAACGGGGGAGGAAAATCGATGCTCCCCCCTCCCTCTCTCACTCTCTTTTGGCTCTGATTTCCGAGCACTTTGCCCCGGCGATTATCAATGCGTGTACCAAAAAGCGTCGCTCTCGATGGAAAAAGTTTTTCTTTCCTCCCTCCCCTCCCTGGCTCTCAAAAAACTAAGTGCTTGCAAGCTCGTACAAATTTCTCGTTTTCCCCCGAGCTCCCGTTCGCCTGTGAAAAGGGGGAAGAAGCAAGTTCTCGGGCATTATTGATAAGCGCACACGGTAGAGGGAGACGCCGGCTTCGAGGAGTCAGAAGAAAATAAAAAGGGTCGCAAGTGCGTAAGCTCCCCTTCGTCGATCCTCTCTCGACTTGGCCGGCGTCTCTTGAATCTAATGCGCCGCGGGGCGTCTCTTTGTTTTCCTTTTGCAAGCCTCCTCCTCCTCCTAAACGGTTTTTTTTTTTATCGAGGCCGGGAGATTTTGCGTTCTAGGTATACGTGTCCTTTGCCCTGAAACTTGCAGGACTCTCTTTTACTCTCCCGAACGCTATCAGCGCATGAGCTTTAAACCTTCATTGTTATTTTTTCTTTTTATTGTTCAGGTACTACCAAATCAGGACGTCGTTACGCGTCTCACCGAAGCTGCCGATCAAGGTGGAAGTTAATCAACCACGAAACAGTGAGTCATCTATTTTATTTATCTTACATGCATAATCTATGTGCCATTCAAGACTAATTTCACTTGCTTCGGTCGACATAAAAATAGTCGATCTTATTATTGATGATTTTGTGGGAGACGCGAGCTATTTCATCGAGATAATTAACGTCATGTGCGTACTCTGTTCCTCCCAGAGTGCATTCGCGTGTACATGAAAAAAAAAAAAAAAAAAAAACAATGCCAATGCTCGGAGATTTACTACTTTTTGTTCAATGCATTTTAATGATAAATTATGTAAAGCACTACAAAACAAAGCTGCTACGTTAAACTTTTTTTTCTTTTCTACATCTCCATCGCACTTTTTTTTTATTCCAAGTAATTGTTCAACTACTTGGTTAGGACTGGTGAAAAACAGTTTTAAAAAAATGTTAACGCGTAGGAATATGAAATAAATCGGAGAACGTATGACACCGTTACAGGTGCGCTGGAGGTGCCGGGTACGAGCAAGCGCTTCCAGATCCTGTACCGCAACGAGGAGGTGACGCTGGGCACGTCCATCCTCTTCCGGGCGCATGTCCTCGTCCACAGTCACAAGATCGAGGAGGCTCTGGCGCGCGCCCACTTCAACCTCAGCGTCGAGCTCTGGTTCAGCGATCCCGCCCAGCACAACAACATGGCCTGCGTCTCCTCTAGGTTAGTCGAATCTAATCTCTTTCCCCCACGCCCCTTTTTTTCCATCTCGAATAAAAAACTCGGATATCCATCCCGCCCTTCGAAGCGCGAATCCGCTGAAATTTTCATCAGGGCCGGAGTCTGCCCGCGGGGCGTAGGCTCACTCCGAGAGTGCGCGATGTATACCTACTTACTACGCTTTTTACCTTCTTATTAATTTGTCGAGCTTGCGATACTCGAGTTTTACGCGCCAGCCGTGAAGTTAAAATGATTTTCTTTTTTCCACGATTATTTTGTTGAAATTAACAAATTCGGTAGCGCAAAGTGGTTTGTTTGTTTTCATTCAGAGGAAAAATCTGTTGCATCGATCCGCAGACGTTCGATTCACCGGAAAGAGCTTTCACAGCTGGGTTTAATTCATACCGGTTTTCCCAGCGAGGAGTTAAAAAATATACGTCATCTCGATAAGGAATCGATCTTTGTTTAGTTAATTAATTTTTTTTTTTTTTTTTTTTTTTTTTTTTTTTTTTTTTTCCTCCTTGCTTTTCTTTCTTTAATGCAAGGATTCGCGTTTGGCACAGGTGCGGCCTACCGGGAGATGGTGCACAACATACTCTACCCGATCATGTCGGCGCCGAGCGTGAGCCTCGTCAGGTACGACGTGCACCACGCGCTCCCGCCCACGGCCAACGCCCTCATCGGCCGAGCCGCCCACATCGCCGTCCTCGACTCCGAGCTCTTCATCGAGAAGTTTCTCCTCGTCACGGGCCTCAAGTACTTTAGATAATCGGCACGGACCTGCATTCTTTGTTTCTTGGTCCGGCTTTGTGGCAAGTCATGCGACACAACGTGGACGAGCTTGACTCGGGCCCCTCTTTTATTTATTTATTTTTTTTTTTTTCCAAGTGTTTTTAATCATTTTCATCGTCGTCGATAAAGTTATACGTATGATCAAGTGGGATGGAAAAGGAAAAGAATGTCGAATTTCGTGCAATGATTTTTTCCTTGTCCCTTTGTCTGTCTGCTTTTATATGGTCGTGCGATGGCTATTAGTTTAAAAGAGTATATAAGATAAAAGCTACGTGTGCATTCGTTGTGGATGATTACTTTTTTCATAATTTAATTTTTCTGTTTGGTGCTACATGGGTGGCAGTCATTGGTCGGTGTTTATGATGGAAGGAAAAAAAAGGAGCCTATAGGACACCAACGGAATTTTCCCCCCACAATCGACTGAATCGTCATAAGCCTCTGACTCCTTGCGCCATTTCATATAAAGAATTTGTGATTCATGATACGATGTATTTCAATTATCATGATGTTACGTTTTCGTTGTACGATTTTATTTGTAAGTTTTTACGATAGTAGTCCATTACGTTGCGTACGAAGGATCGAGTGTTTTTAATATTGTACCCGTACATATGCGTCGTTCGAAGCGTGAAAGTGAACATTATTTCAAGTTTGTATAATTCTGGAGGAAAAATTTTTTCTTTTCCAAATCATTCAACGTCACTCGCACGAATGTTATTGAGTGACAAAAGATTTTTATGCATTTACATTCGAAAATACTTGTATTTAAATATACATAATGTGTTCATTTTTGGTACGCCATTTTAATGCATGACCTTGTTTCAGTTGATTTCAGTTCATGATGTTGATGATGAAACGGTCACTGATAACCGCGTGAAGAAAAAAAGATACGCGATGTTTGGCCTTACCGTTATACAAACAAAGAAATTAAAATCTATAACGAACGGATAAGTCGACAACTTGTATCGAGAAATTAATATATGTATAAAAAATGCTGTTATATCAAAATGAACTAAAAAAAAAACAAAAAGAATACACACACAAAGAATGTTAAAACTTGTTGAAGCGCTCGTTAAAAAAAAAAAAAAAAAAAAAAAAAAACAATGCCAATGCTCGGAGATTTACTACTTTTTGTTCAATGCATTTTAATGATAAATTATGTAAAGCACTACAAAACAAAGCTGCTACGTTAAACTTTTTTTTCTTTTCTACATCTCCATCGCACTTTTTTTTTATTCCAAGTAATTGTTCAACTACTTGGTTAGGACTGGTGAAAAACAGTTTTAAAAAAATGTTAACGCGTAGGAATATGAAATAAATCGGAGAACGTATGACACCGTTACAGGTGCGCTGGAGGTGCCGGGTACGAGCAAGCGCTTCCAGATCCTGTACCGCAACGAGGAGGTGACGCTGGGCACGTCCATCCTCTTCCGGGCGCATGTCCTCGTCCACAGTCACAAGATCGAGGAGGCTCTGGCGCGCGCCCACTTCAACCTCAGCGTCGAGCTCTGGTTCAGCGATCCCGCCCAGCACAACAACATGGCCTGCGTCTCCTCTAGGTTAGTCGAATCTAATCTCTTTCCCCCACGCCCCTTTTTTTCCATCTCGAATAAAAAACTCGGATATCCATCCCGCCCTTCGAAGCGCNATGGAAATGGCGTATGTGAAAAAAAAAAAATTATTCACAATAATAATAATAGTAATTATTACCGAAGGTGATGTAATTTTTACTACGAGTACGATAGTCTTTAACGGATTTAAAACTTTTTAAATATTTGTAGGACGTGTATATTAAACATGTAAAATTTGTCTGTTAGAGAAAAAACTTGAAACGACTTATCTACATCATTTTTAGAGGCGGAACGTTTAACCGTAGAATTATTTTTATTATTGTTTCAAAAGTTGCACAATGTCAACTGTCGCTGACGCATAAAAACATGTATACTGTCGAATCAAAAGCCAAACGTTAAAATTTTACCTTAGAAAATCTGATTTAACTTTACTAATATATTTAGTGCCATCTGATAAAAAAAAAAAAAAAAAAAACTTTAAACAGAACAAAATCAAAAAGAGCTTCATTAAAGGACTTTCGATGCATTTCTATCGGACTCATTTAACGACTGATGCATGTAATGTTGTATACGCACACCTACACACTTACACACATACAAATACGTACACACCGTATATTTAACCGTAAATCCATCGTTTCAAAAACGATATCTTACTCGAGCTTCGTTTGGAGAGAAAATTGAAAATAAAGAAGAAATGCCGATCAAAGACTTGAAGATTATTACCCAGTGCAAACAAAGTTAAAGTTTCAAGACATCGAAGCCTGTATCTGATGCAGCTTTGAGAAACGCAAAAAAATTCTTATATCAGAATGCATTGGCTCGGATAAATAATGACTTCTTTTTTTTTTTTTTTTTTTTTTTTCGTACTTACAATGAAAGAAAGGAGCAGAAAGAAAAAGGAACGCAAAAGGAATTTTTTATTCTAAGTATGTAATTATACTTATATGAATCTTTTCATTGCGTTACAAGGAGCGAAAAATAATATATAAATACACTAGGGAACTTGCAGCCAAACGAACAAGGGACGCGTAACTTAGTCGTGAATAAAATTTCACTCTACTCGTCATCCTGTACCAATTAAAAACCAATTTTTCAAACGTAATATATATACATACATATACTTTTAAGGCAACATTTTCTAGAAATTTATGGGAGACGTTTAAAAAAAGAGGAACAAATAAGGGGGTGGGTCGAGGTGGTCGCGTCTCGACGAAAATTTTGCCGACGTGCTTCACATGTGACTGATACGATTATAATGTACGAAACAGAATATATATATCATGTATTATCAAATTTGCCAATTTTTCTTTTTTCTTTTTTCTGAGACTCTGACGATCGCCTCGACTCTCGATCCTAGGCGTAAAGGAGCGAGAAATAGTGTGCATTGAAAATAAATCGCTGTTGATTAGCGTAAACGAAACGAAGATACTGTTTTAGACTGCAAGTTAAAAAAAAAAAAAAAAAAAGCACTTTCGTGCCGAGTGCGAAGCAAATAATATTATACAAACGTGTAAGGTTTTCGTAGCGAGGAAGCTTGCTTCAACAAAAAAAAAATGGAACACCAAAATGATAAATTTACGAAAAATTAATGGAGCGCAAAAAAAGGGGATTATTATGTATACAGTATATTATAGGCGCGCGTATGTATGCAGCATACGATCGTATCTCGTATCGATGCGTATCTCTAAATCTTAAGGAACGCATAGATAGATATATGAAAAGGAAAAAAAAAATTAATGCGAACGTGTAATAGATTAATAAAATTGTCATTATTACTATTACCGATTTCTCGATTCTGTCATTTATCCCTTCCCGAGTGTTGCGTATCAAAATGACAACGATTTTCAATCGAGTGAAAACATTACTTTTATTTTTATCAAATTTTGGTAAGTATATGTAATAAAAATAATTCACTTAAAACAAAATATTGTGAAGGGTGATTCGTTAAAAATGACTAAAATTATAAAATGGTGTATGGCCTCATGGCCAAGAGGCCCCGCAGCACCGACCGGATATTCGACGACGTGAGTATATATGTATATATATAAGGGTCACGTTGAATTTTCGTAGAAATGAAAATCGTGCCTTTTTTCTCGCTTCGGTGGGTTGGAAAAAAAAAAGGGATGAATACTTAAATCCAGGGTTTTTTGTCACGCGCTCAGGGCGCTGCAGCTCAACTTCGTGCCGACCAAGGGCTTGCACTACCACCTGCCGGTGCTGTTCGACTACTTCCATCTGGCCGCCGTGTCCATGACCGTGCACTGCTGCCTCGTTGCCCTCCACCAGCCCAACATCAAGTCGGTTTACTATCTTCTTTCAACTTTTTCTCCTCGTATTTTTCATGTTGCCTCGATATACCTTTCTTTATTTTTCTCTCCATGTAGAAAAAGCATCCTTCACTACGTGCAGAGCTGGTGAGTCGATATTTTTTTTCATAAGCATTTCACGTTTTTTTTTTACAATATGTTTTACCAAGGGGAGAAAAAAAAGTTTAAACAATCTAAAACGGTAACATTGTCCACCTTGAATGAATTACAGCGCGCCGAGAGGCAGCAAAGCTTGGGTGCAGGCGAAACAGCCCGCGTCCAACATCGTGGACAACAACTCGTCGGCCTTTAAAAACTTTGTAAGTTTAACCATTTTTTTTGGCTAAACACATTTTACCGAGTTCCCCTATTGATTTTTTTTTTTTTTTTTACCTTTCAACAAGGAATCGACGACTCGGTGCGTCGGCTCGACCACGAGGCTGCAAAATGCCAAGCTCGTCCAGCAGGAGGTGACGAGGCTCCTGTTGGCGGCACGCGAGTCGCTGCTCGGTGATCTGGCAGACATGGCGAGGCTGCTGCCCTCCTGGCAGCAACGCGCCCTCGAGATAGCACAGAACACGCACAAGGAGGTCACGAAGGTAATTTTTTTTTTTTCCATACATTAAAAAAAAAAAACAGCGTCAAACCGCTACTGAATTTTCAGATGATCGACATAGAGGAGGCCGACGTGGCCCAGCTCTGCGCACAAAACATCGTCCTGTGGGAAAACTTTCTCGAGGCGTTCTCCGGTCGAGAGGCCGTTCACCAGCACCTAGCCAAAGTTCATCACCAGTTGAGGGTGAGTCGATGCCTTTTTTTTTGTTCCTATCTTGATTATTACCATTAGACATCAAAGGAAGCAAACTGAGAAAATTTATTGCCACATATTGTGTATAAGCAACTCGCGAGTGCCACTTTTCCACTTTGCGCGTACTTCCTTTGCCTTTGGCGCAAGCTCCATATAACTATTGAATAAGTGTAAATTAAAAAAAATTAAAAAAAAAGAAGAGAAACGACATTTTCCCCTTCCTCCTCTCTTTTCTCGTTTGTCGCGTGCACTTTTGTGTGCTTAGAGCTCATAGAATAGCGCTTCTTTGAAAATCCCGAAAGCTGAATATCGAGTTTTTCACTTGACGCAAGCTCCTCGAAGCGCGTGCCGGGAAAATTTAATCGCGGAACACGTCCGCTCGAGAGATCGGCACAATCTGTTTCAAGAGTTTGTCAATATGGTTTTTTTTTTCTTTTCTTTTTTTTTCAACAAACAAAATTATAATAAAAATCACAGTGCTAGAGAACGTATTGTATAATCCAAAGTATCGAGTGTACAGTCGACGCAACGTACCTACAGCCGCGGTAATGAACACCCCTCCCCCAAACACGAGTACGTGCGCGGGTATAATACAGTAACGCTGAAACCTAAAAATCTATAGCCCGAGGTTACCCGAGAAGTACAGCACATAGAAAAAAAAAAAAAAAAAAAAAGGTGCTTTCATTATACCAAGAATAACAATGGAGTGAAGATTCAAGATAAAAACAACAGCCTTGAGCCNCAAGAGAGTATGAAAAATAAAAACAACGTAAGAAAGTTTAAAAAAATAAGAATTAAAATTCATTTGCGTTGTAAAATAAGGTTCGGCTGTCTTGGACAAGAGTCTGGTGGGACGCGAAAAAGCTATAGAAAACAAAGGATCATATTTTACTTAATACGCCATACAGTTAATGTCAAAATACTTCGAAATAGTAGTAAAAAAAATATCGTTAAAAATCAAGGTTTCACAGCCAAACCTTATTTTACGTTTAAAAGACTGTCACCGCGACCCTTGAAAGGCCACTCATTAGCGATCAACACAACTCGAACATCGCGTCGAAACAAAAAAATCGAAGCACAACGCAGCGCCTACCGTAAGTCACCGTTTTTATTTCGGCAAATCGTTTTCGTCCGTCTTGCAGGTCACCGACCCAATTTCAGGATTTTTTGTCGAGCTGGTGATAGGTGTGCTTGTACGCGTTGACGAGACCCACGACCACGCAGGCGCTCAACGCACTTCGGCCCAAGGTCATTGGCCACGCCTCGCGCCACTCGTTTTTCTCCGCGCTGTAGTACTCGACGTTTGACAGCGTTTTCGGATCTGTTGTCATTTGTGCCATCGAGGTAAACGTCAACCATTTATTCATCTTTGAACAAAAATTGAGAGAAATATCCTCTCACCGTCGTATCCGCCCATAACGAAGATCGCGTCGTCAAGAATGGCAGTGGCAAAGTTGCTACGCCCGGTCTTCATTTCCGCAATCGGTTGCCAGCCCTCTTGCCGATTACTCGGATCGTATTTCTCGCCTACATACACGATAGTCATTCAGGCATATAACGTCGAAATTTCCGAAAAATTACGAGACGAGGGGACTCGAAAATGGGGAGAAAAATGTTTGGCTCCCTCTATCTCCTAATTTTTATTTTATACGTGAACGAAACCAACAAGAGTCAAGCCTGGTGAAGCTGTCAAAGCCGCCGATCGCGTAAACGCAGCCCCGGTAGGTGACGAGCGACAGCCCAGTTCTGATAGTGAGCATCGGCGCCAGGTAGCTCCACTGGCCGCTCTGGATGTCGTAAACCTCGACGGAGTCGAAAATCGTGTAGCCATCGTAGCCACCGGCCACGTAGACCTTGCCGTCCAGGGCCGCGGCACTCGCGTCAGATCGGCACTTGTGCATTGGCGCGATCGGCATCCACTGGTTGGCCTCCGGGTCGTAGCGCTCGCACGAGTTCATGCGAGTCAGGGAATTGTTGCCGCCGAGGGCGTAAATCTTTCCGTCTGCTCGTTGTTTGGGCAGAGCGAGATTATTGATACGACGACGAGGGCAACAGTAACAACGAGGACGATGGTAGTTAAGAAGATAAATAATAAACGATAAAAACAGGTACTACCGTAAACGCAGACGCTAACGTAGCAGCGCGCGTGGTGCATGCAGGCCTTCTCGGTCCAGCGCTCGGTCACCGGGTCGAAGCAGCGCGTGGTATTGAAGAAGCGACGGCCGTCCTTACCACCGATCACGTAGATCATGTTGTCCAGGGTGCAGAGGCCGTGGTAGGCCCGCGGAGACGCGTCCTTGCAGCTAGAGATCAGCCACCTATCGGCTCTATGTATGGACGCAAGAAACGAGCTCGTTGTATACTTGTACGCGCTGCAGAGAACTGTAGGTGGTGCGTGTACCTGACGTCGTAAGTCTCGACGTAGTTGACGGGCCAATCGAAACCCCAGCCGCCCATGGTAAAGAGAACCTCGTGGGGGACTCGGGGCCGTGCCAATTTGTCCCGGAGGTTCGGTTGGCCCGACTGGCATCTCTGCGCTCTCTTCTCTAGGTAGGCTTTCACCGACGTCAGCGTGCTCTGGCACTTCTTCATGGCGAGGAAACGGAAAATAAGTCATAAAAAGCACACGAGAAAAAGTTAACATAATACTTGTAAATCATTACTTCGTCCTGCGCAAGTAGACCCCAGGTGAGGACGTTGTCTCGAAAGTACTGGGCATCCATCAGACCAAACCTCGCGCAGCTCAGAAGCTCGGGCAGGTGCTGGACGCGCTCGTCCGGCTTCGACTCCACCCACGACCTAAGTGCCTCGAACACGAGCTCCTCGCTACGGACGTTCAGCTCGTCGTCATGTAAGATTTTCTCCAGCTCCTCCCGAGCTTTTGGAAAAAATGTGATCATCCGATCGTTTGTCTGACACGCTACAATAATCGCGAGTTATAGATGGTAGATTCGTCGTACTCAGTTCTTTGAACTCGGGGCTTTGTTGGTAGACGTCCTTGAAGTTCTGGCGAATGTACCGGCGCCCGCGCTCCTCGAGATCACGGCAAAAATAGTGTCGGGCAAATTTGTTGATCCCTATACGTATGGATGTATTTTGGATTATTGTTTGCAATCAACGACCATGTACAATATGGTACAACGAGCACACTAACCGAGACAGTTGTCGGGATTGAGCTCGTCGAGAAGAAAGCGACAGCACAGCTGGACAACGCCAATGACCTCGAGCCGGTCGGCCAGGGGTAGCAACCTCTCGACGTTGGCCGCGCTGACGTTGCAGGTGCCGGTGTACGCGTACTCGAGCAGCAGCTCCAGCATATCGGCCTCCGTCTCAGGGATCGCGAACTTCATCTGATGCTGTTGACCGTCACCGTTCAGCTGATTCGTGAAAAGCACCCGGAAGTACGGACTGGCCGCCGACAGGACGAGCCGGTGAACCGGGAACTCGCGGCCGTCCGCGCATCGAATGACGCTGTCGCACAACTGACGCTTGGATCTGTGCGGTGCAGGCGACACATGGGTTACAGTACATGTGGTACAAGCACGATAAGCGATGCGATCGAGGTGCAAACAACCTCAACTCCGACCACACGGCGGGAAACTGGCTGGGCGTGTAGTTGCTCGGCAGGCAGACGCACCTCCGTTGCCTGTCGCTGATGCCGGTGACGTCGGTCCGCTGTTCGAGTTTGGCGAGTTGGAGCTGCTGTCTGGGTTGTTTCCTGTCCCGGTGGACTGCACCCGAGGACCATCTCCTCTGGAATTTCACGGAGCTTGACGGGCCGCCTCTAAACTCGTTCATCGTCCGCCACCGACGAGGCTACGCTATCCCATTTTTCTTTCTCTTTCTCTACGCTCTCATAAAATACTCGATATGTGCACCTGTACTGTCTTCGAGATTTGCTGATGGATTTTGGGTGTTTAACACTCGACGAGGATATTGCGATGGGGGGTCGGTTATGAGCACGGGCGTCTCGAAGACAGTATAAGCAAGTTGTCGGCATTTCTCACCTTTGCCGGAGGTGATGATAGCGGCGACGCGTCCTCGGATGCTCGTCTGAGGCTACCTCGCCTTTTCATGTTACCCAACGGAGCTCCTGTGGACGAGAAAAACACCGGTTCGACAATCTGTTTTTGCTTTTCCCTGATCGTTTGAACGGCGTGGCGCGTTGCTGTCGTTGTTTTGGCTGTCTGTCACTTTCAATGCGGTTATCGTGTGAAACTCTTCGCGAGACGGTAGTTTTTTTTTTCGAGGGGAACACTACGTTCGAATGCTTTTTTCTTTTTATCATTTTGTTGGTATCGATGGACAAAAATCTGCTCCAAAATGGTGTAGGTACACGCATAATTCGTTAAAAGTTCGTAAAAAAGATATAATTCTTCATTGGCTGTATTCCGCAAATGCTGCCAGCAGTTAAGTTACGTATATAGGTTGTGGTGGTAACGCTGTCAACCTGTACTACATTTAGGTATAACTGTCGGTGGGTTCCGCGTATGTCAACAATAAACTTCGATATTTTTTGCTGTTTTGACTCCCATGACTACACTGACAGAGTTTGTTGACACACTTAAGGGACCCACCAACAGTTAGTCCAGCTTGACATAGCGCCGCCCGACCATACCCACAAAACATTGAGGTGACAACCGACACTGTCTGTTTTGTTGATAACATCTATAGTTATCTAAAAGATATCAATTAGTTATATAGAGAACAGTTATCGGAAAATGATGTCTTATAGTTGTCTTTTAACAGACGTCTACGCGATAACTTTAGAAGGCAACTTAGTGTTATCTTTTTTACTGGTATCATTTTGAAGCGTTGTCAAAATGTTATCGAAAAAATTATTTTTAAAAAGTTGTCCACGTTATCGAAAGANCAACATTAACGTTTAAAAAAAAAAAAAAAAAAAAAAAGGTGCTTTCATTATACCAAGAATAACAATGGAGTGAAGATTCAAGATAAAAACAACAGCCTTGAGCCGTGTACCGTGTTACAGGTGCGGCGCTTCGCGGAGGGCTTCTTCGTGCTGGAGAACCCGCGTAGCTCGGCCGCGGGCTGCTACGACGCCAACTACCAGTCGTACCAGGCGGTCAGCGAGGCGGCCCGTCGCTCGCGCTACCTCACCAGCTTGCCGAACCTACCCATCCACTGTCCGGAGCTCGACGGTGATCTACACAGTCTGCCCCTGATATTCGAGGACCGCTACGCCGACATGCAGCAACGGCACCGGAACAGCGGTAACATTTCATCCAACGAGTAGCCATTAACGATGAGATGGGATGAAAGTAAAAATATTTCGCGTGTTGCATGCAAAATGCATCAGTGCCGAGCATGGACGACTGCAGCTGCGGCATAAGTAACAACAACGCGGTAATGGACGCCCGGGTGGTGGCGAGCAGCGTCTGGTCCCCGCGCTCGGAGGGCGCCTGCCAGGAGATCATGACGGCTTACCCGGGCCGTTTGTTGCTCGCGCCCACGGCGAGCCTACCGGCCCGACACAGCAAGTCCCTCGACCAGCTGCTCGGCCCTGACCTCGTCACCTCCCACCAGCCCCAATCGCGGGCCACCTCGCCCAAGACCCTGCCCCGCAGCGCGTCCACACAGCTCATCAGCAACAAACAACAACACCAGCAGAGGATCGCCGCGAGGATAGCCACACCACCCGCTACCGTGCCGTCCCGGGGCAAGCTGAGACCGACGGCACCCTCGTGCGCCACTCTCTTTCCACCCCAGCAGAGACAGCAGGCCTGCTCTGCCCCCAATCCCACCCTCGGTACGGACACACTGTCTTACATGCCACTCATTGTTGATTTCGCCATTTCCATTCATTTTTCTATGTACAAACGATATCTGAGGTCTTTATAAGTACGATAATGAGAGAGAGAGAGAGAGAAAGAAAAAAAAACAACTCGTGACTCCATTAGGTTCGACGCCGGTCGTGGCCACCCTGCCCCGGGCCAAATCGACGCAGACGCTCGTCCCGAGCGCGTACTCCGGGCTGCTGGCGGGCGGTGATGGTCCGGGAGGTATGAAAACTAACCAGCAGCAGCGGTCAAACTCGATAACGTCCCTCCTGGCGGCCATGTTCCCGGAGATGCCGCGCAACGAGCACCTACCCGGCTACCGGCCAACACCCGACTTTGCCCACCTCACCGACCGTTTGGCCCTCGAGCCCCGCAGTCATCGGTTATCCCACGAGGTCAACGGGGAGCCGGTCCTCTGCACCGCGACCCTCGACAGGTTGAGCTACCGTGGCCGGGCGGCCAAGGCCCGAGCCGCCAATAGAGCCGCGGGGCACAACGGCCCGGACCTTCTGGCCCAGCCGCGCAAGTACAACACCCTCGGCCGGCCGAGCCGAGGCCGGGTAGGTCTGACCAACGGCCACGACCTTTACGGCACGATGGTCGCCGATTGCTCGGACCGGCGGAGCAACGGGCACCCCCCGCTCATGGCCAAGAGGCCCCGCAGCACCGACCGGATATTCGACGACGTGAGTATATATGTATATATATAAGACCCCCGTGGGTGTGGTTGTTTTTATGGCTCACGCTCCCTCAGGGGTTCCGGGACGACGAGCCGTGGGAGGAGCTGCGCCGGCCGATCCGCAACAGGGACCAGCAGCCGTTGCCCCCGTCGTCGGGGGCGAAGAGGTCGCCGGCCCGGCGCGACGAGGAGGCGAGGCCGAACGGCAGGTGCGGGCGGAACGGACGGGAGCAGCAGCCGGTCTACGAGACGATAAACGACGGGCCCCATCGGGGTCACAACGGGACGGACGCCAGGAGGACCAAGGAGCACCAGAGGACGGGGGGCGCTCGGCCGCACTCGGCTCCGAGCATCAAGGTCGAGAGGTGCCAGGACGAGAGGCTTGAGAACGGGAAGCTGGGCAGATCCGAGGACGCTGGTTCGTACGGGGCATTTTTGGGGGCCTTCGAGGGGGTTGGGGGCTCAACGGGTGGTTGTGACTGGTGGGTTTACTCGACAGGAAAGTTGGGCCATCCACCGCCGCCGGCGGCGTATCAGGATCCTCGTTCGCCGACGCCGACCAAGCACCGGCAGAGTGCGAGTATACTCGACGTGGCGAATAACAACGGCATCGGCAAGCTCGTGCTCAAGGTTGAGCCGCTCAAGTCGCCGAGCGAGTCTCTCAGCCCCGCGCTGCTCTCGCCCGTCTCTGCTGTCTCCGTCAACTCCTTTCACGGTACGGCTTCCTCATCTCTCATCCGCGTATTACGAGGATTTTTTTTATTTTTACATCGAGATGGCTCGCGCGTGAAATAATTGCAAAATAACCATGTGCACAAAAAAATCAATTGGTCGTACATATAAAATGAACGCGTCCTAGTTAACATTTTTCACGAAAATAACTTTGATTGTCAAAAGTAACGCCCGAACCATCTTAATCGGTAAATGGATTCCTGTGCAATATTACAAAGTGTTGCAATCAATCTGAAATCCACAAAATTTTTTGTTTTCTCTTGTGCTGTGAAAAAAAAGAATCATTAGGATGATTAAATGTACAAATCGAATGAATAAACAAAAATGTAGCCGAGGCATCGGGAACGACGACACCGAACGGCAAGCGGTCGCGGTGCGCGAGCGTCCCGGTGGCCCAGAACAAGCTGATAGTCCCGAGGAGCGCGATATCGATGCCGTGCATGCCGATCCGGGACCCGCCGCTTCCACCACCCGCACCGTCGCCCACTCCAATCGTCAACACCGCCAAGCTCTCACCACCTGCTTCCCGACCCTCGAGCCCCACCACGAGCACGAGCTCGAGCAACCTCACCTCGGAGTGCAGCGGCTGGGTCAGCAGCGGGGACACCTCGAGCTCCGAGCACCGCAGGGTCAAGCTCTCGAGCGAACAGCTCCGGCAGAAACTCGCCAAGATCGTCACCCCCAAGAAGGACAAAAAGGTACACGGATAACCAAATAATGACTTACGCGTATCACCACCAATTAATTGACAATAAAATTGTATTTAACAGCAGGAAAAGGAGAGGCGGCGCAGCAAGTCCCAACAGCCGTTAAAGTCGAAGCAGCACCACCACAAGACGAGCGAGCCCAGCAAGCAGGACAAGCTGCGCTCGAGCTCCCCGGCGAGCCACACGTACGAGGAGGTGCGCCTACCGCCACCCAAGATGTTCCAGGACGAGCCACCGCCACCTGAGGAGTTTCGCGATCCTCCGGCCCCGGGGAGCAACAACACGGCCACGACCATCGACAATCCCCTTTACCACCTCTACGAGGCGGTCAGGCAGCAACAACAGCACAATCACAACCACCACCACCATCACCACCGTAGCAGCGGGGGGAGATCCAACAGCCCGAAGCAGACCAAGACGGCGCCGTGCAGTCCCCAGAGGAACGGCAAGCAGCACCAGTCGGCGAGCGACGGCCAATTGATTTACAGCCTAGCCGGTAGTAGGCTCGACATATGCGCCGATTGCTACCAGGAGGGCAAGGAGCTCCTACAATCGACCCAGGACGACTTTATCAATTTCAACAAGTGCAAGGAGGAGTTCAAGCGACAGATGTGCTTCGCCGGCAAGCTGTACAGCGACCATCCGACCCTCGCCTCGAGTCTGCCCTACTTCCACATCAGCGACGAGTACAGGCTGTACTCGCCCGAGGGCGTCCACCTGATCGTCTGCGTGCACGGGTTGGACGGCAACGCGGCCGATCTCCGGCTCGTCAAGACGTACCTCGAGCTCGGCCTGCCCGGCGTCCACCTCGACTTTTTGATGTCGGAGAAAAACAAGGTCCGTCCTGACATTCAATCATTAAGAATATAAGTACCACACCATGTCAGAAAGTCCTGGCTGTGCTAAAGTTTTTGTGGTCCCACCCGCAGGGCGACACCTTCTCGGACTTTGAGACGATGACGGACCGGCTTGTGGGCGAGATCCTCCAGCACATCGAGAGCGGGGACCTAAACCCGACAAAGGTGAGCTTCGTCGGCCACTCCCTGGGCACGATAATCATCCGTAGCGCCCTGACGCGGCCCCAGCTCCGGCCACTGCTACCGCGGCTGCACACCTTCCTCAGCCTGAGCGGACCCCACCTGGGGACCCTGTACAACACGAGCGGCCTCGTCAACGCGGGCATGTGGTTCATGCAAAAGTGGAAAAAGTCCGGCTCGCTGCTGCAGCTGGCCATGAAGGACTCGGCCGACGTGCGCCGCTCGTTCATGTTCCGGCTCAGCCAGAAGAGCAACCTCCAAAAGTTCAAGCACGTGCTGCTGTGCGGCAGCGCTCAGGACCGCTACGTGCCGTTGCACTCGGCGCGCATCGAGCTCTGCAAGGCGGCCGTGCGCGACCCTACCGAGCAAGGTGGGCGAGGAATTTTTTTTATTATTATTATTATTATTATTGTTATTATTATTATTATTATATTATAAAACTATGAATTATGGTTTACTTTGTAGATTGTAAAGCTAAATAAGTTGCTTGTTCCAACGGAACAAAAATCAGTATCAAATATTATGTCTTCGATTCTGTCAAATGAATTGTGTAAAAACATTTCTTGGATAGGTGTGAAAGATACTGTCCCTTTTGGTACATCTAACATGGTTGGGTTGATAGTTGGTAAGTCTTTAAGCAATTTCATTGGTGGTTTTTTTCACAAAAATTTCAGATTTTTAAAGCTATTTCGTGGAATTATCTACAGATCTTATTCAAGAACATCATCAAATTCATATAGATGCTGTAAGGAATCGAATTGCCGAATGGCTTCGAAGATGCGGTGATAGAATAAATAACGAATTAAGGAGGAGACAGAAAAGAGTAGAACAAGGCTATAGTCAATAAGTAACGTTCATATGTAAGAGTACGTTTAAGAATTTTTCATTAAGCATTAGAATTGCTAAGACAAAGAGTGTCGAAAAAAATTATTCATGATACAATTAAATAAAGAAAGTATGTGTTCTATTTTAATA